CAAGAAAAACTGATTTTCTCCATGAAATCAAGTTTAAAACGGTCAATCAATATTAAAAGGATAGGGAAGAGTTTCCAAAAACTCATTTCCCATTGAGTCGAGAAATTTCAGTTTTGCACGTCAAATTTAGAAAAATCAGAACTTGCACTCAATAGGTCCAAAATTGGAAAAATTTATACCTTGGAATCTTGGTTCGGAGTACTAAAAGTTTCTAAAAGACACTTTTTCAAGATTCTAAATGGAAGACATTCAAATTTGAGCTCAAAGTAGCTGATCTGAACAAGCAAGACAGTTTTGGTCATGTTTTTCGGTAAATTTTGGAAATTCGGCAAAATTCACAGAAAGTGAACTAGCCTCTGAAATTTGTAACACAATAAGAATTTCAATCAAGGTTTCAAACACAACAAACGGAACTAAATTCGAAATTTCGAGTATCGAGATACATCAGTTCAAAGTTGGTTGCGTTTTGCAAACTATTCAGTCATTTTCCAGATTTGAAAAGCTATCTTTGAAGTATCATTTAGCCATCAAAATGGCATTGAAAATACACCAAATTTGGTACACTAAACTTTCCATATGTGAAATACATTTCTACCAAATTTCATGTGAAAAATCACGTGGGAAGGCAGTTAACAAAATAATCAAAGTTCGGAAAATTTCCAAAGCAAATCTTCCATCTCACCATTTTCTTTCTTTCCAAAAGCTTAGTACTATGAAATCAGTCCCAAGTCATCCCATTTTGAAACCATGAGTCCAAAACACTTAATAAGTAGTTTAGAGGTAATTAACATCAAGATTTTTGAAATATAACTTTCCAAATCAGATTTGACCATTCGGCCAAGAAGAAAGGAAAAGTTTCTGGTTTTCCAGCCTTGTCACAGTTTGAAAATTAAACCATATCTCACTCAATTCAATTTTAAATTGAGAATGGTTAGTGGCGTTGAAAACTAGGTTCAAAATTCCACATTTCATCAGAAGAAAATGTTTCCAAAATCAGTTCCCAAGTAGTTTGAATTCAAGCCACAAGTTGCAGCTTCTCATCTCCATTCGAACGGAACAAGCAGACAGAACATAACAGAACAGCCAATTTTATCAATTCACTGCAGTTCACTCAGATCAAACTAGCAAGTATTTTTTTACCGTTAGAAAGCTACAGATGTCTAGTTTCAAATGCCACAAATGGCACTCGATTTTGACTTTTGTACAAAGAGTTATGTTCGATCAAAGGGGTACTGTTCAGACTGCCTGAACACATTTTCCAGTTTTCTTCAAATTTCGAAACTTCAAATTTTGCTCAACCAATTCAAATGATTTTTGGTAGAAACTTTCTACACATTATATACAACATATATCAACCAATTTCACAGCCAACAAACATCAAAAATTTCGAATATGAAATAGAACAACATGTCCAGAAATTCGGCTAGCTCTCTCTTCTCTCACGGTGCCTCTCTTTCTTTTTCCTCTTCTAATTTCTTCCATCAAAACTCATCACAAACACACTAACACACACATAAACATCATGGCAGCCCTTATTTAACCAAGGTGAGAGTTCATAGAGCTCACTTCAACCATCCAAATCCAAGCAACAACAACAAGAAGGAAGCTACAAGCTTCAAAACCAAGAAATGAAACAAGAAAGTAAAAGCTTTGTTGGAGGTGTTTATACCTTCAAACTCAAGATGAAACTCTATATTTTTGTTGTGAGAAACTCCTTAAAACAGCCCTAACCAGCTGCCCCTCTCTTCCCTTCAAGCTAGAGCAAGAACCCAAGGAGTCTGATGGTTGGATGATGTTTTGCAAGCAAGGAGTTCTTTTCTTCCCTTTCTTGTCTTGAGGCTGGCCGAAATTTGGAGTGAGAGATAAGGGAGTTTGGTGGTTTGACTCTTGTAAAACTTGGGGAGAAAGAATGGAATAGTAGCTTTAGATTGTGTGCAAAAAGTCAACTTTTACTAGTGTCGCGCGCGGGTTTTGTACTACCGTTTTCTCTCGGGTTTGATACACTTCTGTACTAATCCTCTAAGGTACTTCCTTTAATATGATAATTATTCACTCTTAGTAGTCTAGTATTAATTCCTCAAATCTCCAATTTGTCATACCGGAGTGACTTTTGGAAAATTATCGACGCACGCGCAGTAAAAGTTTACTTTAAACTCACTCATATCTAATCCCTCAATTAACTTTTCTTAGTCTAGTATTGATCATTCTTAATTCTCTAAGACAAATGTACTCTCGAATCGAATATAGTCTCGAAAAACGTGTACTCATTATTTCTTGCTAAACGAGCCGTAGGAAAAATTAAATTTGCTAACTAAACGTTTTAGAATTATAAAAGGGACATTTTTGCATACAAATGGACTTAAAACGGATGAAATAAATTATCTGGAGTAAACGGGCGAATAAATAATTAAATAAACCAGTAAAATAAAATAAAAATAAGAAAAATTTTGGGTCTTCACAGCAGAGCCACAATTTGGGATCCGAGGGCAAGACTCGAGTCGGATCGTTTCAAAATACCCCTTAGATCTCATATTTCTCTTTTGTTTATTTTCACTACACAACAGGAATCGAGGCCTATAGCTGGAAGATTCGAGCTCGAATCCTACTCTTGGATAATGCCTCTGGGTACAAAAGTTTATCCAAGGTTAGATCTAAGGGTTTCAGTTTAGATATGAACTCAAATCTGCTTCCTCTAGTTTTGCACCAACTTCAACTGATATTTACTCGATAATATAGGCTGAACTAACTCTTGTACAAAACACCAAAATTGTAGCCCTTTGAGTTAACTTTCCAATGTCTCAAGAATCATCCAATTTAGGGCTTTGTAGACTCAGAAATTACCAAAATACCCTCAACTAATCAGAACTCTATTTCATCTTTCGACAATGAAAATGCACTTCTGTATTTTGACCTTTTAACAATGGAAAAGACTAAGATGTTTTCACAAGAAATGTATAGCTATGTGTTAGCTTCAAGATGGTTCAAGAATCATCTCAATCCGATACCTTTAGCTCAAGTTATACCCAAAATACCAACAGGTGTAAAAGCTGTGAAATTCCCTTGATTGCATTTCATCTCTTGCACTTGATATTATCTTATAAACCACTTCAAATCATCATCAATCATCCAATTATCTTCTCAACTCACTCCATTTGATGATTGAATCATTAAACTTACAAAAACATGAAGTTTTCAACATTAAAATCCATAGAAATGCAATTTCTATCACTTTAACCATAAAATGTATATTTTCACTCGAAACTTGGTTCATTAGCTAGAAACATGAATAAATACAGCAAAACTAAATAATAAAACATGTTTAAAACACTTAAAATATGAACTTATTAGTAATATATTTTCTAACTTTAAATCTCAATTTAGCGATATGTATTGAGCGCTATTTCAATTTTCTATGATATGAAAAATTAAGTTCAATATTTAATATGAATTTTTAGAGTAAGTTAAAAAAGCTGGTGAGCTGCTGCCTTAAATCATCAATGACATTAAATTTATTATTTTGTAAAATGATAACTAAATGTTCACTTCTAAATTTTCTTCTAAGGTTATTGTGGAATTTAGAGAAATTAATTATGCGTCAAAAAAAATTCTTTTGAACAAAAAAAAATTTATTTTCTTTCTCTAAGAAAAGAAAATCTAAGTGGGAAAAATTTACCCCATGAGATCTTTAGATGTACAATTATGACCCTTAGGTTAAACATTTATTGAGTTGTGAAGCCTCACCTCACAACTCAATAAATGTTTATGAGCATGTGCTTGCTTTCAAATGTAATTTAATTGTAAGGGGGCCAGTTGCATTATCACTCAATAGTTCGTACCAACAACTTTTTTTTTTATTTTTATCTCTGTACTCTCCTTAGCTCCCTTAACAACTAGGGGTGGGCGCGGGTCGGGTACCCGCCCCATTCACCATTTGGTTGACCCGACCTGCACCTTGCGGGTCAGCCATTTTTTGACCCTTACCCGCACTGCATATCAGTGGGTATCCGATTATAGGGTACCCGCTGAGATAGGATCGGGTCAGCGGGTATCCGTCCCGCCCCATTTATCATTTAATTTTTTTAAAAAAATAATTAAAAAATAATTTATGCCAATTTAATTTTATATTTTACACATTCATCTAAGATTTAATAATTTTTTTTTCTAAAAAAAGGTTTCGCACAAAGAAACAAGCATGTGAAGAGAATATAAGATAAAAGAATTCAAAATCAATAAAAGTTTGAAATAAGTAGCACAATTTTTAATATATGTTCCATATTAATTAAACTTTTTTCTATAAAATATAAGATAATGACACCTACAAATGAATCTTATAAATAAACTATAGTATCTCATATTTGTAATACAATTTGTTCAATAAAATTACTTATTTAGTTCTAAATTATTATTTTATAGTGTGTGTATAAAAATAAAAATAAAAAATATATATGCAGGGCGGATGGGGTACTCGCGGGTTTTTAATTATGTGATCCTAACCCGCCCCGCATCTTAGTGAGTACCCAACCCTCTTTTGACCCGATCAAATAATAAAAATCGGATATCTTCATTTTCGGATCGGATCGGATCAGAAATGACGGGTTTTCGGCTTAGCGGATAATTTTGCCCACCCCTATTATCAACTCCAAATCCTGCCTCCTACCTAGGGGTGGCAATCGGGTCGAGTTTGGGTTGACAGGTCGTGTTAAAACTCGGGTATAACAGAAAATCTGTTGATCTGAATCTGACTCATCAACCCGAAACGGGTCAGGATACCTGACATGAACCCGAAAAGTTTGGGTTAGCGGGTTGACGGGTCGACCCGAAATGACCCGAAACTTAATTTTAATTTTTTAATTTATCACTGTAATTTTTAATAAAATCAATTTCTCACAAAATTAATTACATAACCAAGTAATAAAAATTTAAATAAATAATTCCAAACCAAATCTGAAATAAATTAAACACCGTAAAAGTGTTTTATCCCAAACCAAATATAAAATAAATTAAAATAGTATAAAAGTAACTTCTGACTCGAAGTGCCTAGTCAAGGCGACTTCCAACTCATCCCTGTCTTCAATTTCAAAAACTTCTTGTACAGCAGGGTCAATAACATTTATAGAGAAAACAGAGCCAACATGTGATTCTGAAAGATATTTCATGGTTTCAAAGATATTAAAATGCACAATCTGCCCATCAAATTTCATAGACAAAGTACCCTTATTAACATAAATTTTGGTTCGAGTTGTGCTCAAAAAGGTTCTACCTAACAATAAAGGTGATGGGTCGTGGGAGTGTTCATCATCCATGTCAAGCACATAAAAATCAGCGGGGAATACTAATTCATTAATTTTAACCAAAACGTCTTCAATCAACCCGTCAGGGTATGCATTGGTTCGGTCAGTCAGTTGGATTATTATTCCAATTTCTTTCAAAGGACCTAAGTTCAAAGAAGCATATATGGACTTTGCCATGACATTAATTGATACTCCTACATCTAACATAACCTTTTCAATCAAGGTATTACCGATCCTACAAGGAATAGTGAACATATGTGGGTCCCCACATTTCGGTGGAAGTTTTCGTTGCAGCATTGCTGACACATTATCCCCTACTACAACTCGCTCATCTCCTTTCAACTACCTTCGATTGACACACAAGTCCCTCAAAAACTTCGCATATCTAGGCACTTGTTTAATCGCATCCAGTAGGGGCATATTAATCTCTACCGTGCGAAAGATCTCCAAGACCTCTTTCTCCTTGTCCTGTTTCTTTGGTTTTTCTAGCATGCTAGGAAAGGAAGGTGGATTAGTTTTAACTCTAGTAATCAGATCCGGAAGTACCATTTTATCTTTGTTGTCTCTGCCCTCCTCTTCCAACTCTTTCTCGATTCGTTCCTCGTCCTTGTCCTTAGGAATCACCGGTTCGGGTTCTTGGACTTTCTTTCCATTTCTCAAGGTCATTGCACTCACATTCTTCAGGTTCAACTCAAGTTGAGGTGGCAGCTTCCCTTGAACCTGGGGCTCCAAATGGTTGATTGCGATGGCCATTTGATTTACCTGAGTTTGCAATGATTGTACTTGTCCTAGTTGATTTCTCATGCTTTGCAAGTCCGAATCTGTCTTTTGTTGGTTGGCAAGTAATTGCTTCATCATGTCTTCCATGGACGGACTTGAGTTCGAAGGGGGTGGTGGCGGGCGAGGTTGATACTGCTATTAATGCCCTTGCTGTCCATTTGGCATGAAATTAGACGGCTTATTCCCTCCGTAGCTCAGGTTGAGGTGGTCCCTCCAACCAGGATTGTATGTACTTGAGTACGGGTCGTACTGTCTTCTTGGCGTGAGTGTGTGGCCAGCCATGTTCACCTGTTCTGCAGTCTCCTCCTGAACCAGTGGGCACATTTCTATAGAATGTCCCGGGATAGTGCATACCCCACATACTCTAACTTGTGAGGCACTTCATACGGCTAGTTGTCAAACGAAAGACGTCAATTCTGAGAGTTGTTGTTGGATGGAGGAGGTCTCTACCTCATTCACCTTACGCGTCGGAACATCCTCTCTCGAACTGAACTGCTGTGAATTCTCAGCCATCCCCTCAATCAGCTCCCAAGCTGTCCGAGGGGTTTTGTTCACCAACGCCCCTCCACTTGCAGCATCAATTATACTCCTGTCCCTAAAGAGTAGCCCCTCATAGAAATATTGGATGAGCAGTTGTTCATTTATTTGATGCTGAGGGCATTTGGTGCACAATTTCTTAAACCGTTCCCAGTACTCATACAGAGATTCGCCTGGGTGTAGTTTAATGCCGTATATCTCCTTTCTTAGGCTTGCAACTCGAGATGCATGAAAGTACTTATTCAGAAATTTTTTCTTCAGTTGGTCCCACGTGATGATACTACCTGTCGCGCCCCACTTTTTGAATGAGTTGAATGTGAGTGATGTGTGTGTGAAGTGTGGTGTGAACGTGTGCAAAATGAAAAGTAAAAAGGCCATGGGACTTTGGAAAGCGACGATTTGGCCAAAGAAATTTTTAAAAAAGGGTTTTTTAAATATGAAAACGGAGTCGCCACTTGGTATAGATTTGGGGTGTACCAAGTCACCCAAAAAGTGTTTTTTAAAGACAAAGTAGTAAAACCCTTTTTAAAACGACTCCTAATCCACGTAAGCCAAAGAAAAAGGTTCGGGGGTCACGTTTGACAAAGGGGAAGGCAAGGATAGAATCCAAGGCACCCCTTTGACCTAGCCAAGGCTAGTTGCGCGACTCAAACCAATTTTTCCTAATTTTTCTACCCAAGGTATGTATCGCGTATTGGATATGTCTATATGAATGCAAAAACCTAGACCTAGGGGGATTGGGGGAAATTTCTCTTCAAAAGTTGAGTGGTGCCAATCACATTAATTGTGAAGCCCAATAATGATCCTTTTGGAGAGGTCACACCTAAACCTAAATGACGTGAAAAATGAGTGGAATGCATGCCATGTGAAAGTGTGAGTTTGTGTGAAGTGAGAAAAATGATAAAAGTAATAAGATAAGAGTGAAGGTGTGCAAATGTAGATGAAAGTACTCGTGTGCGAGCGAAGATAAAATGCTCGTGTGCAAGTGAAGATAAAAGGGTTCATGTGCAAGTGGAGACAAAAAAGTGTTCGTGTGCAAGCGAAGGTGATAAAAAGGTGCATGTGTGCAAATGAGACAAAAGTGAAAGTGTAATGATAGAGTGGATTGAGAATGCATGAGCCTAGGGAATTCATGCATATTGGGTACGGGGAGACCTAAATCGTGACTTGATTTTCCCTTTGATTAGAAGGCGAAACTAGCGTGCTAAGGCTATCGAGTAGCCACACTCGCTCGTTTCCCTTATCGGAAGGGGACACTCAAGCAAAATGAACCCTATAACTATCATGATATGCAAAAATCCTAAAATGAAGGGAAAGGGGGTTCGAGGAGCATGCCAAGTGATAAAACTAAGAGAAATGCATGATATGTGGTGAACAAGCAAATGATATGCTAATGAGGGGAAATCCCTAAGGGTCTAGCGTTGGACTAGCCCATTCTATGAATTCCGACTAGCGTTGGACTAACGGAAACGTACATTCATCCATTCCATTCATTCATGGCTATGAAAGCAAGTAGACATGCCAAAATACTCGTAAACACATAGCACATAGCATTTAGCATGCTCGACTAGATGCAAGAGCCTAATAAAGCAATTAAACATGTAGCAACAAAAACAAGCAAGGGGAAGGGGAAGTGGACCAGATGCTCTCCGAGCCCTATCTATTACAAGCCAAGAGGTGTACACATACCCCATAAAAGCATAAAGGGGAAGGGGAAATGGACCAGATGCTCTCCGAGCCCTATCTATTACAAGCCAAGAGGTGTACACATACCCCATAAAACTTAAATAAAAGTAAAAGCAAGTAAATGCATGCAAGGAGGTAAGGAAAGCGGAGTAGGCATGTATATTCACGTAACACGTAGGAGCACGTAGGGTCAAATGAAGTGCAAATGAAGGATAGAGTGTACCTCCCTTGAAGCGACGCCCTAACGTAGTGAAATTACTAATTTACCCTCCAAAATAATGAAAAGGGTCAAAGTACCACTTTATTTAAGAAAAATCATATGTAACAGAAATTAAACACAAAAATGGAAATTAAGCATGAAATGAGCATTAAACATGGAATAAATCATGCAAGTGTAGGCAAACTCGGTCCCAGATAAAAGGTTCCAAAATCCTAAGATGAAGTTTTAAATTGAATGGATTAAGGTGGACAAAACTTGGCTTGGGCTAAATCCATCAAAACACAAGATTAATGCACTCATTTAAAAGCAAAATATGAACAAGACAATTTGAATTCACTAACTCCTTCAAAAATCAAGACACCACAAGTAGCTATGGAATTTAACCATTAAAGCCCTTCAAATAACCAAAACAAGTCCATATTCATCAAATGAGATTCCAATTTGAAAAGGAAAGAAAATTCGAAGGATCAAATTGATTGATCTTTTCAGATGCTTGGGCCATGGTAGAATAAAGGGAAACTTGGGGGGGGTTAAAATGCAATTTTTGAAAGTCATTTACATGCAATGTTCATGCAATCCACGTAGAAGGCTTCTACGGTTCCAATTCCCATACAACACAATTTCTGCAGCTTTAACTTTCAACCATGCAATTCATTTGCACAAACAAAAGAAGAATATGGCATTTTAACCAGAAAAATCATCTCGGCAAACCGTCATAATGAAGCAAGAATTGAAAAAGTTCAAGTTACGCCAGAAAATTCAGCAACTAAAGAAAGGAAGAGCTGCTACAACAAGCCATGAGTTCAGGCTTATTGCAGCAGATTTTTATGCCCAAATCCCAACCGCGTGCAATCTAAAACCAAACAAAAGGATCATCGAACACGTTGCTCTTTGAGCTTGCATCGGCCAAAACAGATTCCATAAAACAACTTTGAGATTGCTCCCATTAAAACATGGTTAAACATCACTTAACAAATCAAATAGCTGGAAGAAATCCATGCAAAGTTGACATGCGAATACTACAAAGAAACAAACGGCAACCTGAAGCTATTGTTCTACAGCAAGAACATTTATTAGTGAAGCTTTCTGCAATCCAAACAATACCGCAGCAGCTATCAATCTCAACAAATTTCTGATAAAACTTTTCAAACCAAACACTCAAAATTTAATCTAAGCAACCTGACACAGCATGTCAACATCCAAACAAACCAAAAACATAGAAAGAAAATCACACAAGTGCTTAGAGAAAAGTCCAGCAAGCATTCGGCAATTGGAGTTGCTCATTTTCCAGCAAAGCTGTGATCATGGCTCAAGTGCTTAAGACCCAAATATGCAAACCCAAACACCACTCATTCTATTTTCTTTCAAGGCATCAGGTCAAGAAACAAACCAGGTAATGAACTCAAATGATAGACATGACATTCAGATCAGATTTTCACAATCATCAACTTAACTCAAATGCGTGAACTTGGGGACAGGGAGATCAACCACGGTGCAACCATGACATCAAGATCTAACTGCTAACCATGTCTAATGCTCTTTTAATAAATCTTTTGGCCATTAAAGCACAGATCTTTGAATCGAAAGGGATCAGGAAAGAGAAACTAACGGATAAAATATGCATTAACCAAGAAAACTCATGCGATGGTTCACCGAACCTTCATAAAAAAATTGAGTTGGCTGGATCAAGATGTACTCGTTACCTGCACATTGTTAGAGATCGAACCGGCTTGAGGAGAAACGAGAGCTTACATCTGAAGCAAATGGACACGGAGTAGGAGATTGTCCGCAACTTCATAAGCTTGATGAAGTGAACAGGTGAGGTCTCGTCCAAAGCTTCTTCCCAGATTTCAGCATTTAGTTTTGCTCTCCCGAAGTTTCCTTCTCCCAATCTCCCTCTTGATCTCGGTTTTGCTAGGTTTTCTTGTTTTTTTCCTTTTAGTTTTTCCGTTTTCCAACCCCCTCTTCTCTGCTCGCAACCCAGAAATTTTCCCTTACCGCCCTCTTGTTTCCTTGCTTAACTCCGTCAAACCCCTCTCCCTCAGTCCTCTCTGGTTTTCTCTCTCCTTCTCTGTTTTCTTAGCCGAGCTTCCTCTCACTCCCTCTTGCTCTCCTTTCTCTCCCCAAAGCCCGCAGCCTTTCTTTCTTTTTCCTTTGCTGTTTTTCTTTTCCCTAACCGAGCTCTCCCTCGTATCTTCTTTCCGATCCTATCCTCCCTCTCTTCTCCAAAAATCTCCCCCCTGCGGCTGGCTTTCTCCTTTGCTTTTTATACCAGAAACCTCACAACCCTAAACACTCCCAGCCATCTTCTGTATTTGCAGCCCAAGGAGCCGTCCCAAACTTTCCTTGCAAGCTGCTACAAATGCAGCTTGCCGCGGCTATCCTTTTTTTTTTTTTCAACTTAATAAATACATAATATAAATAATAATAATAATAATAACAAAATGACCAAAACCATGTAATAATAATAAGAATGAAAACAAATAAATAAAAAAACAAACTAAATAAATAAAAACAACAAAAATGTCCA